AACCATGTCAAATAAGTAGTCTTGTGTTTCTTCATGATGCTGAATCCTGGTGTACATGATATAATTTTTCTTTTGCATGGTGTCTCCTTGATGTGCATCTTGAATTAATCAGATTGATATGCAACCGCCTATGTCTTTTAGGCATAGCCGGTCCCAAGCCCGGGTAAGAGCGTCTCCAGCCGTTCGGCCCCCCAGGGCGCCAAAAAAGAGCGGCCTGGGGGCGAGCCGGCTCTAGATCGCCCCCTGGGGTTCGGTTCGCTCCTAGTCATAGGCCCACTGTAGCCGCGAGTTCGGCGAAGTTCGTTTTAATTTTTTTGCAAACTCGGCGACTTTTGCATGAACTCGGCCGTTTTTCGTCGAAATTTGTACAAAAACTTAAAAACATGCATGAACTAACTTAAAAACAAACTAAAAAGCCTAGCCGCTGCCGCCACCGTGGCCGCCGCCGCCGTCTACATGTCGAGAAGCCTGTAGAAGCGGGTGTAGTCGCCGTCGTCGTCATAGCGCGCCTCGCCTGCGACGTCCCTGCTGCATCCCTCGCCGGGGTCGCCGGCAGCGCTTGACAGCCCGGCCTCGCCCTCGTCGTCGCTGTCGATGATGATAACGCCGCCCTCCTCGGCGCGGCTACGGGCCTGGGTCTCCAGGTACGCCCGACGCTGGTGGCTCACCTGCTCGCAGACGTAGTCCTCTCTCGCCCATTTGAGGGTGGACTCGTTGTCGGGGGCCACCATGCGGGCATGCTCCGGCTTCACGGGGAGCATGTCCGGCTCGGGCTTCAGCCGGACCAGGCGGAGAGAGCGCCTCGTCGGGGCCGTCGCAGGTGAGGGCTCATTGATGACGAGGGCGCCGCTGCGAGCGTGACGCCCGAGCGGTGTCCCCTCCAGCTCGGGCTTGACGGGGCGAAGGGCCGGCGAGCCGGAGCCCGACGACGAGGACGACCCCGGCTCCATTCGTCGCGGCATCCAGGAACTGTCGCGGCGGCGAGAGAAGGAGGGTCGTGTCGGGTACTACAGCCGCGACACATTGTCGGTCTCGATATGGTCGAGGACGGCATCAAGTGTGCGGTCGGGGACGCCCCACCACTCACGCTGCCTTCGGAGTTGAGGAGGCCGCGGGGGATGATGCCGTTGACGGAGGCGATCTGCTCCTCGCGGCGGCGCTCGAAGTACAACGTCCACAGCGTTTCACTGTCGGGCGCGTACCTCGACTCGTTCCGCTGCTCCTCCGTCAGCGAGGAGCGGATGCGGGCGATCTCCGCCCGCCGTGACGCCCCTTCGGGCACCAGCGGCACCGGGACGCTGCCGGCGCTAAGTCTCCACGAACCCGGCACGCGCATGTCGGGGGGCGCCGGGACTCGGCCTCGTACAGAAGGCGCGCCTCCGGCTCTTGGAGGTGTTGGCGGCCGAAGCCGTTCGCCGCTGCACCGTCGCCTGGGTATCTCTCCGCCATGGTTTCGCTCGTCGGTGGACAGGGGAGTGGTGGGAGAGCTCGCCAATGGGGAGAAGGCTTTCGCGGGAGGGGGAGGGGGAGGCTGTGGCGCTCACCGGTGGGGAGGGGGCGCCTTTTATAGCCAAAGCGGGGTGGGGGGGGCATGTGGGCGGACGTGTGGCGCATGCGGGCGGGACGCGCATCGGCGGCGTCTTCACTGTGCCGCCCGTGAGGCATCAATGGAGGTTCGCATTGATTCCTGCGGGAACCGAGGCGATGAGGTCGACGAAGCAGCCGTCTCGCTGACGTGGCGGGCCCGCGGCTATTTCACGCCAAAACACTCGCCCCGGCGCCCCCGGGTGCCCCCCGGCGCGTCGGGTTCGGCCTGAATCCGCCAGCGCTGATTTCGACCCAAGCCGGCGAAAAACGAGATCCTGGGGGCGCGACTGGGCTGTTTTTTCAGCGCCGGCGCAAAAAAAATGCATGGGGAGGCTGTTCTGGGGACGCAGCTGGAAATGCTCTAAAGGAGGAGGGTTGTGATAGGCTTGGCGAGCCAACATAAAAATTAGCCAGTCCCATCGGTATGAAACCCATTTGAGCGAGAGTAGTACTAGGATGAGTGACCTCCTGGGAAGTCCTCGTGAAAGGGTTTCGTATATAAGGGTCGTGATAGGCTTGGCGAGCCAACGTAAAAACTAGTCTGTCCTTTGGGTATGAAACCCATCTGGGCGAGCGTAGTACTAGGATGGGTGGCCTCCTGGGAAGTCCTCGTGAAAGGGTTTCATATCTAGCTTACCCCAACTTATTTGGGACAAAAGGTTTAAGAAGAAGAAGAAGAATGGTGTCTACTTGATGTGCATTTTGAATTAATCAGATTGATATGCAACCTTGTATACACTCTTCTTTTATTGGTTCCTTAACTTTTGCATAAAGTTGAATCAAGAAATACATTAAGTTTTATTGTTAGATGTGCTCCTATACAATTGCTATTTCTTTGTTACGAGAAGTCTTGAGTGCATTTTGTCAGGTTGATATTGGAGAACTAAAAACTAACTCCGGTGCTTTGATGAATTTTGTGTTCCCTAAATAGTGTCTTCAATCTAAAATCATAAAAGTATGTTGTAGTTGAAACGTGCATTGCATGTGCACACTTATATGAATCAAGCCTTACATGGTTTGCTCTTTTACTGATGGACTGAGGAGGTCAGAGATGTATAACAGCCATATTGATCCAAATGACAAGTACGGCAGTGCTAACCTGCTTACCTAGAATTTTACCACATCCTAAGACTTGCAAATCTGTACAATAGGAATGGCTAGCTGTTTTCTGGTCTACAACCGTGACATGTAGTGGCATCTCTCATCATGTATGCACATAGTGTTTAGGTATGATTATTGCATACTGTCAACAAGGGCGCAACGTTTTTCCTGAACTGATTTTTTTGTTTTTTCTTTTGCTTACTGCTTGAGCTCGGTTTCAACTCTTACCCGAGTAGTTGATCGGCAAGCCTGATGCAGGTGTATGGAAATTATGCAGTTCCATTAGCTCTGGAGTTGTCCAGTATACTTACTACTGAGGCCTGCATATTTTGCTGATGCAGGTTGGAGGTGAACATGAACTCTGGCAATCCAAAATACCAGATATAAAATAATTGCAACTCAGGCCATGTAGTTCTACAACAACCAAGGAAGAAGTCTATTTTTAAGCCGACCTCGGCCAAACAATTTAAGCTTATATGGGTGCTCTCTATTTTTCAGAGGTGTGTGTGTACTGAGAGCGCCCATGATTCAGGGCAAAAAATCTGGTGGTACTTGAAGCCAGTGATAGCCCGTTGAAGGATGCTGATTGTGGCTATACAACTTCAACAACGTGTTTGCCACTCATGAGTGGCAAAGTATAACATGCCGCCTTTTTTTAAACAAGCCCCTTCAAATTATGTATGCAGTATGCTGGGAAGAACTCATGGCAAAGCCTTGTTTGTATGCATGTCTTAATTTCAT